AAATTAGACTGCTGGGCGGCAAGATATGTCCATGTTGAACTGGTTGCTCTTCGCCTAGTGCCGTTTCAGCGTACATATTCTTAAGATAACCAGGAAATGGCGTTACTGCATCAAAGTCGTCGCCTCCATCGTCGTCTGGGGGCTCGACTGCCACAAAGGATATGGCGAATCCACGGAGTGCGTTGCTTTCGTCTGTTTGAAACTTTAAAAGGAGCGTGTCGGAGTTGGAAATAATTATTGGTGGCTTGCGTTTGCCGCAGAAGCGCCCATGGATGGTGTTCATCGCGTTGCCCTCCTCGGTGACTTCCAGGAAATCGTAGTCACATCGCTCAGAAAACTCGACCTCGAAGTGAAGAAACTTGATTTTCACGCTGCTATCTGGATCCGCCTCGATGCGCCAGTCACAGTACATATTGTGCTTATAAGATCGGCTGCCGTATCGTGGATGGGAGTAGAAAATCTGCGTGTGATTCGTGGCCCGCAAGTAGCCGCCGCACTCGGATGCGAATGTCGCCTTGAAGCCTTTGCGCTGCAGTCCAGCATCCGTCTTGAGGACCATGAACAACTCATTTGTGGATGCAATCACTGCATACGGCTCCCGCCCGCCGCAGTAAATGCCCAACGTAGAGCTATTCTCGGAGCGACCATCATAGATGGCTACATAGTCGTATATGCACTCCTGATGACTCTCCACGTCGAAGTCGTGGAACGTCAGCTGGATGCGATGTCCGAGCACCGTCTGGAAGTGCCAATAGCAATAGATATTCCGCGCATAGTCGTTGGGATAGTTGGGACTGTGTAGCACGCCATACGACGAGGTGATTTCGAACTTGCACTTGGTCTCTGTGCAGTTGTGTCCGTTCTTGTTCAAAGTGTAGCCATTCCTGCAACTGCATTGGTATCCGCCAAAGGTGTTCCGGCATCTGTGTTGGCAGCCTCCGTTGTTCACTGCACACTCGTCCGCATCTGTGGAGCATGAAGTGGAGGAGGCATTGTATCACAAATCATATAAAACCGCTTTTTCTACTCACCTAGTATGAATTGGGCCGCGAACCCGCTTCGTTGTATTGTACGATCCGAGTGGAACTCCACCCGCAATACATTCTGCTCTGAGTTTACAATAGGCGGCAGCTCGTTGCCGCAGAATATGCCGATCTTCTTCAGCCGGTTGTCACGCATCTTCGAGTAGATGATGAGATAGTCATAACTGCACTTGGTATACTGGAATTTAGTGCCCTCCAGATCAAAGTGTGTGAAGTTGAGGAACACTGAGTGATGCACTGAAGTCACGATCTCCCATACACACTTCTTGGCATTGGGATACAGATCTGGATAAGATGGTGAATAAATTGTTCCGTTGGATACTGTAGCATTCACAATGCCCCCGCATGCATCTGTAATGTAGCCAAAAGATGGGAATTTATGAGAAGAGATAATAGCAGGTTGATAAGAGAAAACAAAAAAGTAGGAAGAGATAAGACGGGAAAGGATGCAAAAAGTAACTGAGAAGAGATAAGGCCGAAGTGAGAAGACGAGAACAAGAGAGTTCTGAGGTAAAAGGAGAGTAAAGCAAAGTACTTCAAATACCTTCACAGGATTTCCCATTGGCCTGGAGCTCGTAGCCAGCATGGCAGCCGCACTGGTAGCTACCCAAGGTGTTAATGCATATGTGCTGGCATCCGTGCTGCATGAATTTGCACTCGTCCACGTCCAGCATGAGTGCCGCGGAGAAGCCCAGCTTTTGGACAGAGCCATCCGACACGAACTTGATGAACATCTGATTGCTGTGAGTCCTAAAAAAGATTTAATCAATGTATTCATGTGGTCTTGAAGGATTATATTTGATTTACTCACTTGATGTTGGGCGGCAGCTTGTCGCCGCAGAAGCGTCCGATCAGCTTCGACTCGCTTCGACTGCCGTCACGTACTTCAATGTAATCATAGATACAGCTGTCGTGCTTCTCGAGCTCAAAGGACTGAAACTTGAGCGCCACCTGATGGTTGGGTGGGGCTGTAATCCGCCATATGCATTCCTTGCCAGGCATATACTCTAGCGGATAGTTGGGCGAATCTATGGACTGACCCTTGCTCAAGTGAATCTCACCACCGCAGACCACTGCAAGTTAAGTTGTGAGTTATATTGTCCCTCAATTGGTGTTTCCAACTCACCTTCAAAGCGAGCCTTAAATCCCCTATAACCCAGAGCAGCATTGCGATTAACATAATTGATCAGCATGCGACTCGTATCGGTTGTGATTATCTCGCCGCTGGAATTGCCGCAGAGGCGACGAACGAGCGGAGATCGATGCCAATAGCCGTCGCGGATTTCCAAGTAGTCCTTCGTGCAGTTCTCCGAGGACATTAGCTGCAGATCCTGCAGATGCAAAATGATCCTTTCGCCATTGGTAGCGGTAATCCGCCACTCGCAGCTGTTATCAGCGGATTCCTTAACGCCGTCATCGCCGCTGCCTTCATACTCATTGACTACACCGTTCTCCGTGTAAACATATTCAGGAGACACAATCTGCCCGCTGTTCTGCTGAAAGGTGCGTCCACAGGCGACGCACTTGTACAGCAGATTGGCCTGCAGAATGTCGCCACGACTGAGGCGGCGTCGTTGGCCCAGCTCAATTTGGGCGCCTTTCGGTAAGCCAATGGGCGTGATCGTGTCTAGATAGGGACTCCTCGAGAAGGAATTCTTGGCATAGTGCATAATGGAATTGTAGTCGTACGGCAAGAGCGGCTCGTCGAACTCCTCCGGCGACAAAACGTCGAAATTGTAGGCCTGGCCACGCATTATGTTTGCCTTGTTGATGATGATGTGCTTGTCGCGATCCCCGCGAGCGTGCTCATGATGAAACCCGATCGTGTGGCCCAGCTCGTGGATGATGATGCCGAACTTCTCGCAGTTGCGCCCAATGGAGATTGGCTGTCGCCCACTGCCATTCTTGCCCAGAAAAGAGCAGCAACTAAATTGGAAGTGCCTTGGTTAGTAATGAGGCCTATTGGACTTCAGGGCGCATTGGACTCACCCGCAACTCTTGATGGTGAAGTAAATGTAGTTGGTGTGCACCTTTGGATCGCGCTCCACAAACTTAATGCACGTGTAGTTCTCCCAGTAGCGCATCGCCTGCTTAAACAAAGCCTTGTGAGCGCCGCTGAATATGGAGTCAATCTCATATGGAATGACCCCATAGTCCCATGTACGCTCCTTGCGCACAGTGACGCCCCGTCGAAACCGTTGACTGGCTGGCAGAAAGTCATTCGACTCGTCAGCCCAGAGTAGCGGCGGCTCTTCCTTTGGATTTGCATGAGTCGGGGCAGAATCCTGTGATGGGCCATGTTGTCGGGTGTGCTTTCTGCAATGGATAGAGTGAGCATGTTAAATTCGTGCCTCATTTATTTCCATTGTTTCACTGAAGTGGGCAAAAGCCGTTTGAATAGCACAATTTAGATTGTTGACTAATTTTCGCATATTGTGGAATATTGTGGGGAAGCACGTGCCTCACCTCAAATTCAATGCGTTTGAAACTTACCGAAATGAAATCCTCTTTGCATATTCTCTTTTGATATGCTGCGCCTGAGGCCTGAGCTCTGACGTTTGTGACCTAAACTCTAGCAGTCCAGCTTCCGAATGAGTATTAGCTTGCTGTTCATATGTCACAGTTGCCTGCAGCCACAAATATTAGAGTCTTTGGAGTATTTAATATGCTGAAGGTCTTACCATGCTGTAAAAGTCCTCTGGCTGTTCCTTGAAATCAAAATTGTAGTCGTCCTCCAATGGAGCGCGTGGCCATCCCTTGCCATGTGCCTCGTTGAAGTGGAATGCGAATGCCAATGATCCCGCAAACAAATAAAACAATTTCACTTTCAATAGCATGATTCGCGTAGTCTTGTTTATTCTTAAGGCGAGTGACACGACCGTGCCGGTCCAGTTGAGAGCTATAACTGAATTCCCGAATGCAGCGATTGCCGAATTATATCGGGTGCTGAGACTCGTAAGGGTTCGCATGACACAGGTATACGAGATCACCGAAAGGGAAAGAGGGACAGCCGCTGTTAGAGCGGGAGCGTGCGGGCGAGGGCAACGAGATCGAGATATCAGGCAGGAGTTGTTGTAGCAACACGCAACGCGACGCAACCCATCGCAACCTGATCTGTCGCCATCGACAACAACAAGAACAAGGCACACGAATAGCATTCAGTTTTGGAACGCGACCGGTACTGAGCTCGGGCCATCCTCATTGGCATTTCAAAGTCGCCCATTGTCTGTTCGGCCTGTTGATTGTTTGCTTTCAATGGACTTGATTTGGGTATTCCTGTCCCTTGACATTGTCTTCTACCTGTCTACCTGAGGATTGAGCTAAGCGCGTGAGCTCTTCGAGCTGTTTTCTCAGCTCTCACCGCTGACATCGGGATCAGGTGTTGTCTTCGACATTTTAGGGCAGGTCATTAATAACACATCATAAATCCAGCAAAAGAACGAATCTTTCAATATGACCCAGCCCCGGATTCTCAAGGGTCACATTTGAGGCGTTATACTTAAGTAAAAAATGCAATTGTTGTTTCGGGTTTTTACTGTTTTAAACATTCTAATTATTAGGTAATATATTTAGTTACGTATTAAGTTGATGCAAAGAGTCATAAATGAAACATACTATACATACACATAATCCGCTCTTTTACGTATAAAATGTTGCTCTTAGGCTAAATTGAAGTATCGAAAATGCACTAGGAATAGAAAGTATTGCCCAGAAAATGCTTTGTCGTAGTATTACTCGAAGAATCTCATAGTAAGTGTAACAGGAACTTCCAAGTAACAAAAAACGAAAATAAGAAGAAAACAAAAATCGAAAATATATCAAAAAGATTACAAAAATTGCACATTGAGCTTAGAGTTGTTTTACACTAGGATAGATACCATGTACATACGGTATACATGTATAGATGGATGCCGCGTTAAGGAAGTGTTTTATGGAAGATATGAATAAATAGTATTATATGGCAACTGATTAGTGCTTATGAATGTCACACATAAATCCTTTGATATTGATACACATTAATTGGTTTTGGGTCCATTTGAGAACCGATCGAATTATTTCGTAAAGCTAACGAGTGCTGCTTCCCCTTTTTTCGCGATATGCTTGACGTGCTATACCCTAAAGATTTGTTCTGAATATCTATGTATACTTAATATTTGATTATGGTCAAAATGAAGTCTATGTATAATTATATGTTAAGAGAGCAAAATGTTGCTATATGTACGCGACGATATGCCTAAATAGTTAAATAAATTCCGTTTTAATATATTGTCATGATTTTCGTGCGTTTACAGCGTGTCCGGCGAGTCTTCCTGATCTTCCAATCTTCCTAATTCGTCCACGATGAATAGCTAATGGGTAAGATATGGCGTCCACGATATTGAGCATTCACCAGCTGGTTCTCACTGAAGTCACTGTAGTCATCCGTCTCCTCGGTATCCTCCTTGTATATGCTTTTGAGTGAGCCTGGAAAGGGTGTGACCATCTCGGAGCTGTACGAGCTCTCCATATCCTCATCGCTGTTCTTGAACGGATCAACGGCCACATACGATGCCGAGAATCCCTTCATTGGCACCGAGCTGTCCGTCTTGAAGCGCACCAGCAGCGAGTCAGTCATCGAGATGATGTCCTGTGGCAGCTGTGATGCGCAGAGGAAGACAACAGGAGTCAGACAATGAGCTATAGTCCGGCAGGTGAGCTTCAGCTTACCGAATTTCCACAGTACTGGCCATACATGGGACCGCTGGTGTCCTCCATGCCGGAGAACACCTGCACGTAGTCGTAGGTGCAGTTCTCGCTGCTCTCAATGTCGAACGTGAGGAAGATCAGCTGCACATTCCGGTTCGGCGGAGCCTGAATGGTCCACTCGCAGTCCATGTTGTCGTCGTAATCCTGGTTGCTGAATCGCGCGTGAGAATAGAATTGTTGGATCTGATTTGTGGCGCGCAGATACCCGCCGCAGGCTGCAAACAAAATAACAGAGATTAGCTTGGCTTCCGAAAGATGCTCAGTAGAATACTCACACGTCGAATGCATTGCCATAAATCCATTCATCTGCTTGTTTTTATCCGTCTTCAGCACCATATAGAGCTGGTTGGTTGTGGAAGATATGGGATAGGGTATTTTCTCGCCGCAGAATCGTCCCAGCAGGGAACTCAGCTCCGACTCCCCATCATAGATGGCTACATTATCATAGGCGCATTCCTGAACAAGGGAACAAGGAAGTATTGCAGATATGCTGTCTAATGCAGCTAGAGCTATAACTCACCTGATGCGATTCGACATTGAACTCATTAAATATGAGCTTGATGCGGTGTCCGGGCGTTGTGGAGAAGTGCCACACACAGTCGGCATTGGGCGGATAGTTGTCCGGGTAGTTGGGACTGTAGATGGTGCCGAATGAGCCCGATATCTCGTTCTTGCACTCGCCCTCCTTGCAGTCGTGCCCGTTCTCATGTAGCGAGTAGCCATTGTGGCAGAAGCAGAGGTATGAGCCAATGGTATTCCGGCACTCGTGCTGGCAGCCCCCATTGTTCACGGCACACTCGTCGATGTCCGTGAAGAATACGGCTGCGAAGCCCGTGCGCTGAATGGACTTGTCCGAGTGGAATTCAACGCGCAGCGCATTGCCGTCCGAGGTGGCGGTAGGCGGAATCGCACTGCCGCAGTAGGTACCAATGCGCTTTAGGCGATTCTCTGAGAGCTTGGAGTAGATGGTCACCGAATCGTAACCGCAGTCGGATTGTTGATGCGCAGTGCCCTCCAGATCGAAATGCGTAAAGTTCAGCGAAATTTTATGTTTGGCCGGCGCAATAATCTCCCAAACGCACTCCTTCAGCATCGGATAGGTTTCGGGGTACGAGGGCGAGGTAATTGTCCCGTTAGGATACTCGATGACACCGCCGCAGGCATCTGTAAATTGATAGAGCACACGTCGATAAGGTCATTAGCACAACAATTGATTAACGCGCCTAATGTGCCGGATGCGGGCGCAGCACCCACAGCAGCCAGAGTAACAGCCACAATGACCAAAACAACAGCAACAACAACAACAACAACAACAACAATGACTTACCCTCGCAATGCTTCTTATCGCTGTGCAGTTCGTAGCCAATGTGGCAGCTGCACTCGTAGCCGCCAAGCGTGTTGATGCACTCGTGCTCGCAGCCATGATTTTGCGTCTCGCACTCGTCAACCTCCTTCATGAATACGGCCGAGAAGCCCGCCTTCTGCACCGATGTGTCCGACACAAATTTCACGTACATCGAATTGCCACTTGACCTGAATGAGTGACGATGAACAAAGCAGAGTTGGTTTGAGTGGATGTGCAACGATGCTGATGTGGTTGTAAATGTGGATGTGGATGTGACCAGCCATTGGCATGGGCATGGCAGGGGCATGGGCATGGGCAGGGGCATGGGCACTCACTGTCGGCACTCACTTCATGTTCGGTGGCGGCTTGTAGCCACAGAAAACGCCAATTAGCGGCGCATCCTGAGCGGGTCCGTCTCGCACTTCGACATAGTCGTAGACACAGCTATCATGGTTTTCGACCTCAAACGACTGGAATTTCAGCGCCACTTGAAAGCCCTTTGGCACTGAAATTTTCCACACGCACTCCTTGTTTGGCAAATAGTCGAGCGGATAGTTGGGCGACTCCAAACGGCCCTCCGAGTCATCCACGGACAGTTCGCCTCCGCATACAACTAGACAAGAGCAATGTCACAAATTTGTTGTTTATTTTACTATCTATCTCTTTCTCTCTCTCTCTCTGTTTTTTACTTACCATCGAACTCTGCTTTGAAGCCGCGATAGCCGTCGGCACGATGGGAATTCACATAGGTGAGGAGCATGCGACTGGATTGCGTGGTGATCACCTCGCTGGCCACCTTGCCGCAGAAGCGTCCAATTAGCGGCGACTTGAAGTAGTAGCCATCGCGTATTTCCAGATAGTCCGTCTCGCAGTTGTTCGACTTGAATATATTCTAATGGAATGATGGAAATATATAATCATAAATCACTGTCAGAATTGGTCTCCTCTCTCCTCCTACCATGTCCTCGAGTCGCAGGACCACGCGCTCGCCATGCGTTGCCGTTACGCGCCATTCGCAGTGTTCGGTCTCGTTGCTGACGGCTCCGGCCGTATAGAAGACGGGGCTGGCAAAGAGGCCCGTGCTCTCCTGGAACGTGCGACCGCACTTGGGGCACTTGTACAGCAGATTGGCCTGGGCAATGTCGCCCTGGCTAAGCCGCAAGCGCTGGCCAATCTCTGGCCTCTTGCGACCCTTGACTTCGATGGGCAATATTGTATCCAGATAGGTGCCCTTGGAGAAGGTGTTGCGTGCGTAGTGCATAATCGAATCATAATCGTAGGCCATGCCCAGCGAATTAACCTCATCCACAGACAGCATGTTAAAATTGTAGTCCTGCCCCTTCATTATATTGTTGTGCTCAATCACCACGTGCTTCTCGCGATCCGGGCGCGTGTGCTCGTGCCAGAAGCCCACCACGTGACCCAATTCATGCACCACAATGCCAAACTTGTCGCAGTTACGGCCAATTGAAATTGCCTGTGGTCCATTGCCTCGCTTGCCAACAAACGAACAGCATCTGTGTGGATAAGCGCAATGGAATATAATTTGAAATTTGAATACCTCAGACGTTGGACTTACATCAGTCTGACAAAGACTAAATAACTTAGTACACTTTTATTAAATATACATATATTTTTGTATGAAAAATATGTTGCAGTTACCAGAGTAAAAAATATTGTAAATCTAAAGCGAACAATAAATTTCTCCCTTTCAATCTTTGAAAATAAGATTTTATATTCGTTTACATTGCACAGGAATATATTGGCTTTCTTTTACATTTCATTTGCTCGTCCGTCTTATTTGAGCCTAAGGGATTGAAATTTGTAGTACTTATGTACCCTTATGTCTTATAAAGTTGTAAGTATATTTACGATACGTCCACTGGGATTTCCTCTAAGTATTTCTTCTAAATATTTCCTGTAAGTATTTCCTCAAGAATTTCTTCTAATTATTTCTAATTATTTCCTCTAAGTATTTCTTCCAAGTATATTCCCTACGTATTTCCTCTAAGGATGTCCTCTTTGAATTTCTGATAAGTAAGTCCTCTGTCTTTGATGCTCAGCTGTGCGACATTAGGTCTGGGTGAATGAAGAAATGCTGCAGCTGCCGTTTATATAGGGTTACTTTCACTCAAAGCCTAAGTCACTATCAATGGGATCGCTCTTTGCTCTAGCTTGGTTTTACTCAAATATAAATACCAAATGACTAGCATCTTAAGTCATCTTAAGTAATACGTACTATATATTATGTAGCCTTTCTTCGTGGCTGTGTTCTACAACAAAATAGACTTTTCATGGCAATACTGAATAGCACTATATATAAATAATATTTGGACTCGGTTTTTAACTTTAAATAGCTGCAACTTTTCTGAATGAGCAACATTATATTTAATAATTTAGAAAATTGATTATATTGAATAATTAATGATATTTCATCATATTTTCATGATATTTTTACTGCATATTTGAATTTTTAAAATCAACATAAAACTGAATTAAAACTGAATACGATTTGTTAACACACTTCTATTCGACTTAAATTAAATATGGAAATTTCGACTAAAGCTAAAAAGTTCTTATCCTAAAGTGTTAAAAATAAAGTTGATAATCGTATGTACATATATCTGCTCATAGAGATTTGATTTGTAATCTTACCCGCAACTGCGTATGGTGAATACTATGTAATTGGGATGGATTTCCGCGTCGCGCTCCACAAACTTGATGCACGTAGAGTTCTCCCAGTGGCGCATGGCCTGTTTGAAGAGGGCTTTGTGCAGGCCGCTGAAGTTGCCGTCGATCTCGTAGGGGATGACACCGTAATCCCAAATGCGCTCCTTTTTGGCGGTTACAGCACGCGCCACGCGATTGCGATGCTGCGGCCGCTTCAGGTTGCTGTGCAAGGCGACAATGTGCATGAGGGGTAGTGGGAAGGCGAGAGGGTGGTAAGAGAGAATGAGTTGTGGTCATATTAAAATATTCTGCGCAGCAGTTGTGGACCATTCAAACAAGAGTTGGTTATGCATGGCGTATGTGTAATTTTAATTGCCGCCAGTTATCCAAAAATGTTGGCTTAAACTTTTTGGCACGCGGATTGCTATTAAAATTCATAACTTTCAACGCCATCCACTTTTATTTTGATGAATTGTGTGTGTGTGTTGTGGTTGGGTGTGCGTGAATATGAAATGAGTGCTGTATGTGGAAAGTTTATGGACCAAACCTCTGAATTGAATGGCCAGTAATTTACAGCGGGCAGGAAATGGTACCGGAAACGGATGTGGTGCTTGCGGTTGCTGCCATGGAATGGTAACTGTAAACTTACTCTGTATCTGGCACTTGAGTCTCTGCCAGTTCAATATTATGGCCATTTATATTCTCAGTTCGCTGCCCATTATCAGCCTGCGCCTGCGTCGGGGAAACACTTAGAGGCGACGCCGTGCTGCGGCCTCGGCCKCGACCTCGACCTCGACGATGCTGGCGATGCTTCTGCTTCTTGTGTAGATGCTGCTGGTGGTGGTGCTGGCGCTGGTGTGAATGATGGCCCTGCGGAAGATTGAGCTCCTCACGGAGTCGCTGCACTTTGCTTGCATACTCCGCCCACTGACTATTGGTCCTGTGTTTGAATATAATTACGATAAAATCTCCTAGACACTCGATTCCAGACAACTCACCGATGCTTGGGGCCGCGCCTGTGCCTCCTGCGCACTATGCCCTGTGCATGCAAGAAGTCCACATCGTCGTCCAGGTGCATGCCATTGCCCCCGGCATTGCTGTACACGTTGGCCATTGTCGATCTCTGCGTGGGCAGCGACGTCGGCACAATATGTTGACGTCGCTCTGCGACAAAGTTATTGCCCGAATCGTCCTCAATGTCCTTATTGTTCGATTGTATTTTCCGTGTGTCCACGTTGCGGAGCAGCGCCTGTGATTTGTTGAACTGCAGCAATGCGGGAGCGAGACTCAGCTCCACATTAGATGCAGTCCGATGCCGCTGGACTGCCTGGCGCTCCGGCTGGGTCAACACCTCATTCTTGTAGCTGGGCGGATGCGCAATGTCCGAGGGGGTCTCTGGGGCGGTCTGCTTTAATGGTTCGTTGGCGCTCTGCAATGCCAGATAAAAATAGTGATGGTCGGAAGTCCGCTTAGGCCTTCGGCCAACTTACCAGGCTGACATCATTGTTGCTAATGCCGCTGGCTTTGGTCAGTGGCTGTCCTGTTGTGTGGCCAGCTGCACCCGCGCTGGGCAGTTTCGTTTTTTTGCGTATGATGTCCGTCAGGCCCTCCTCCTCCACCTGCAGGCCCTCGTTGTAGACTTCCTGCTTCAGTTTTTCTAGGTCCAGTTGAAAGGTCGCATTGTATTTGGTGGGCTCCGGCGCATCCGCTGACATGTGCTCAGCCGGCCCATTCGACAAAAGCCGTTCCACCGACTCCATTTCCAGCTCCTCGTCGTCGATTGGTGTGTGAGCCACCAGAGGGCCGCCATCGGGCAGCGCAATATCTCCCATGAAGCCGCCTGCAAGATAAATGATGTTCCATTTTAACAGAATTAGAGTAAACGCTAGCGAGCTGCTCGTATCATAACTAACATGTGGCTTTAATTATAGCATGTTCTCGACAAGACAGCCGACACAGAAGACATAAATTTGTATTTTAATTGAAATTTCATGTGGCTTTCCTGCTCGTCGGGCTAGGCCCAATAAAACCTGGGATAATGCGTCCCGCTCGTAATTTATAATTTATACAAACAACGATGCTGCGTACTGCGTGGCTGCCAGGACGAATAGCTGGAGCAGGAGCAGGAGCTGCAGCTGGAGCTGGAATTGCAGCACAACAGACAGACTTTTGTTTGCCTAGCGGTTGGATAGACATTGTATATCCATTTAATCAGCACATCAGTGCAGCCGTGGCCGGACGGACACTTTGTTTACTTGGGCCGTCGCAGCGATACGCGTCGCATGCATATTGTGGACACACATGTGGCCAACATACAACAGACAACAGACAACAGCCAATAGCCAACAGACATCAGACAACAGCCGACGTCAGCCACAGCCAGAGGCGACTGTTGGCCATTATATCGGGCAAAAGTTTTCTGTATCGAGCAACAAAAAAAGTCATTTAATACGGAAAATATGAATTTGTTGCCACATATCAGTCTGGGCATGTTAAATAAAATTAATTAAGTGTGTTTGTTATACAACATAAAGGAGAGCCAATTGGGGCTGACGGCAGATTATTCACCCCAGCAGTAGTGGATTTTGTTAAAGCTTTCCATAACTTTAAAAGCTTGTCATTTAATAACGATAATCATATTTTTCAATACCCAATTGTATCATATTATCAGTGTATTTATTATGCACAAGAATTGAGCTTCAAGCAATCGAGTTGAGTATTTCAATGTGAAGTACGCACATATATACTGTTCTCTAGAGAGTGCTGCTATGTACATAGGTACATCCATATATCAAATATAGTAGTCTATGTAGAATAAATTATAAATAAATCTTGCATTGGGGCGATTCAAGGTGGGCGAATGTTTGTTAACGGTATTTGACTTCTGTAGACCGCTTAACGTGACCCACATTCGGCGCCATGTCGGTGCAGTCGCATAGAATCTGCTATCTCAGTTGCAGCAGCTGGGGGCAATATGATTATTGCCAATGCTGCCGCAAATTCAATAAGCTTTAAGCCAAGGGGGAATGCCACTCTCTGACGCTCTAACAACTGGGTCAACACTTGCGCTGGGAGCTGAGCACATAAAATACTCCGGCTTCCACGTCAGATACGCATGCAATTGCCTATAAGAGTTGTTTTACACTTTTCTCAACTTTGCGGCCGAGCTTATATCACAACGAGCAACCAGGCTCATGACCCACGCTGGCAGAACGCTGCATAGCTTTAGCATGAACATAGCTGCTCGCTGTATTAATTAAGTGGGCTACTAATACCTACATCGGTGCAAACCTTACCCTTGTAATCGGTGGGGACTCGCTTTGTAATGCTCGAGAAATCATTTAATTGATTTCAGCAATTGGGTATGCATTCAATCTGCATGAGAAACTTCCATTAGATAATCGTTAAATATTGATGATTCTACATAGTTCAGAAAATGGAAGATAACTAACTTTTTTTTTGTTGAAAGTTTGATCTATAGGGATGGCAATTCATCTATCATTCTCTTTCTGAAAGTATCAGATAAATGTTATATTTAATAATATTATTTAAATTTCATTCCACCATCTTTTCGATAGGCTCTTAAGCTGTCGCATTAATGTTCTATTTAATAAAGTTAACAAAATTATATAAGCTAGCATCGGGTATCCCTATGAAACTCTAAGATACATCGTTTTAAATATTTATTCTTAGTACTTATTTATTATATTTATATTCAATTTAGACTTCAATGCTGTGCCCTAGAATATTTGCAGCTATATTTTCGAAGCTTTTGACACTCTCATTTCATACTTAAATAAATTAAAATTTCTGTTTATGTTGACAGAGAAAAATAGAATTTTTTTTTTTTTTTTTTACAAGGAAAATATAAATTGATTTTTTGCATGATTTTTGACAACAATGTTAAACAAAATATTTAGGCGAAATTGAAATTGAATAGCAAGCTCTTATTAAAAATAAAAATGTATCTATGTAGAGCAATATTGCAGGCCATCATATTTTAAAGGGGTTTGGCATAGGCTATTTCAAATAATTTTAAACATATTTAATATACTCTGGCATCACTTCATTGCAATAAAGCCAAAGCTCAATTAGTCTCAACGATTGCAGCTCCGCTTCATGCCAGCTTTATATACAAATGTAAATATCTCATTTGTTTTAATTTGTTTGCTAGATATTAAATAAAACCACAATACGCATTGGTTTAGTTATGAAGTAAATTAAATTACATTGCTATACATTTATGCCTCTCTTGCTTTTGTTATGTTCCCTGCAAATAAATTTAACTTTTGTATTTGTATGAATTTGTAAGCATCCACTCTTGTGAGATATCTAAATTAAGCCACATAAATCATAAACATATGTAGAAGTGAGCAATGCTGATTAATAAGGAATGTCTGCAGTTTGCAGGTAGTTTGTCATCGTTGTTAATGATCTGTAAATCGCATTAGGCATGCCAACTTGTCCAATGAAATGCCATCAAGTATTAATTAATTGGAGGCAAGGACTCTTACAAAATGGCGGCGATATTAAATAATCAATGTCAATTAAATGCTTTCGGATGCAAACACATTCCGTGCGTGGTATGAAACTGGACCTAAATGAGCAATAAGGGCCAAGGCTGAATATTTGATGTGAACTTTAATTGAATTGCATTAGCCAGAGGCAAAGGAAAAATAAATCTAGATTGAAAATCTCTAAAAGTCAAGTTATTCAAATTATTATCGAATTTTATTTGAATTAATTGGGTTATATTTGACATTCTCTACTTTGGAGCAAGAAATTCAATTACGGACGCAATTGATATAAAGGCCAAGGATATGCATGTTTGTATGTATGTATTCCTATGTATTCCTAACACGTTCATAGGACCGAATGCAATGCAAAAATTTTGTTATCTGCATGCAAATATTTAATGATATGCAGCTGAGCAATACCCTGAGTTATACCCTGTAAATGTTATTGCAATTAGAGTAGGATAGGGTATCAATAAATAATTGATAATTATATTGAGGAATTTTACACAATTTGCTAGGGATATTTTGTATAATTTTTATACTCTAAAATTTTTCTAGCAACCCGCTGTGACGGGTTTTTGTATAGGGTATCATTTTTACGTAGCACGAAAAAATCCGAAGAATATAGTAAAAAATATTTGTATATGGCAGGTACAATTGAAAGGGGTGCACAGGACGTGCACAGCGTACAACATGACGTATGATTGATAAGCAATTCTGATGAATTTCTGCAGAATAAAACTGGAAAATAAAACAAAAATAAATATGGGGGGGGGGGGGGGGGGGTCAAATGAGAAAACGCTTCGTTTGGCATTTAAGTCAGTTGGCAGAGCAAAGGATAGCAAAAATCTGCGACGGAAATTCAGTGAAAAGCCAATGCACTTTGAAGCACAGCAGGCGAGAAAACTTGCACATAATGCGTCACAAATCCCACAGATGGCACTGGCAGTCGTCGAGTAATAGCCTCTGAAACCTCTGTGAGCGAGCGAGAGCCAACGGGCATTCAAAAGAACAAAAAGAAATCTAGCGCCGGGCGACGCACACTGAAAAAAAAAGCACAAGAGAGCAAACGTGCGTGGCTTACAGTCCGTGTACAATTTCATTACATTTAAGTTAAATGCCTTTAGCTGGTGCCTTTATTCGTCCAGTTTGGACGCCTGGCTGGCTGGCTAGCTGGTTGGCTGGCTGGTGCGTCCGGCAGACAAACACAAGTTCGCACAAGTGAAAGTAATTAAATTTTTGAGCCACGCCCAGGCTCCCGCCCCCGTCGAGCAACGTTCACACTAACGAACTGACGCCGAAACGTGCCGCATGGCGCTCTGTAGCTGCCTTTTAGTGGATGCTGAGTCCAGACACCGAGTGGAACCCCTTTTTTATGGCCACCACAAACATGTTAACACATTTGCCAAGTTGCAGTTTTTGGACCAATGTTTCGCAGCGGCCGGCCTGTTTATGAGCTTTCACGCGTTCGGAACAGAATTTAATTAAAAATAAACTATCCACTCCCTCCAATTGCTACGCAGTCGATAATGTGATGTACACACACTCACACAACAACAAATCGCCAACACATATATTTATGCTATATATGTACGTATATAACGAGAGCAATATGCTGTATCAGCCTCTGTATCGGCCTCGTTTACGCATCAAGCTGTTTGTGGGTCAAAATTAAATAATGAAAGAGCTTATCCAACTGTCCCCCAAATGATTGTCAGCTTTATATTGCTGCCAATAAGCTGCCATAAGGGAAATAATTCAAGTACTATAGTATATACATAGATATGCTCACATAAATTCCAAGCGATTGCACAAGCCAACAAAATTTAACTGCTCGACCAAGTGATTTGTGGATGACTATTTGATCCTTTCACATGCCAGCTCGTATTCACCCACGAATGTCATTTTGCCAAAATATATATATAGCTGTTGTATAAAAAGCGGAAATCCATTTGCATCCACTGTATATATCCATCGGGCTATAACAATAGAGTTGCAATTGCAGCACAGGGCAGGACCTTTCAGATTGGCCAGACATACAAATTATCAGACCTAAATTATGTTGTAATGTTTGGCCAGCAAACAAATAGATGAAGCGAACCAATGTTTGTTCAGCTCGAAAAACAAAATGAAAGCATCTACTCATATGCCTCTATTCAGAAGCCATGCAAATAAAGGCATTCACACGTGGGCAAATATAATAATACAGACATTTCCACACTTTTTCTCTTTTTCGGCTTAGCGACTGACTGGAAGCGACTATTTCATAAAATTCGGAAATGTAAACAATAGAGATATAGAGTTTCAGCAAGGCTTTTCACTG